AAAATGAAATCACAGGAATCGAATTGATCTACCATGCGCCTTGCTTATCAACTACACACGGAACTCCACCGCTCCGAAACTCGAGATCATCTTCTCTTGTTAGCCTTGGGAACTCAAGCTGCAAACCGCTAAGAACTCCTCTAATATGACCAGGACTCTTGAGCTGACAGCCTCCACTCCTTGTTAGTCTCAAAGACCAAGCAATTTAGAAGTCCGAAACCCAATTGCAATGGAGACCACTATCAGCTAATCTCCCAAAACTTATAAAGACTTCGCGAGAAAAATTCTAAAGGAATCCAATTGATCATAGAAATCATAGGAACCACGGAACTCCACCGCTTCCAAACTTCAAGCTTTGCAAACTTTATAGCAGTGTCTTGTATCATATAGGATAGCTACGTGGAACATCACCATTTCATGCATCTGAGCCGAATCATCATACGGAATAGCTTTATATCTCCTACTTCAGACTAACTCCATTCTTTGTAGTATTCAACCCTTTGAAGTTAGGATTTGCACCACTGATAAACTAAATAATTAATTTCTTCACTGATCACACTCGGAACTCAAGGAGCACTCTGACACAAATGCTGGGAATCCAACTCGCAGAGGAAGCCAATCGTGAGAACAAGAGCTTCGCATTTCATCCTTTCTCTTCGTCCCATTATACAAAACAGGAAGAACCAGATTCCTTTTGCGAGTAAACTTCCTCGGCTCGATAAATTAGCCTGCTAAACCGCAAGTACTTCGAATAATGAATCCTTCAACATCTTAAAGTGAAACACTTCTGACTAGAATCCTTCCTGAATACGGGATGCATACCTGTTATAAATACTCAATGGTTGAGGCATCAATTTAGCCACAATCCAAAGGCAAACTCTCCCTCGTTTCCTGCTGCTACGTCTTTATTTGCTATTGCCGTCGTCTATTATCTACTGGTCTGCTTGGCTTTGCTGCCTCTTAGACTAATATAATCAATTTGGAGTCGGTCAAAAACGCGCCGAGCTACTCTTGGATTACTTTAAGGTGCGCGCTACTTCTCCAAGCCATGGTACCCCCCTGCTTATGTTTCTTGTTTTACCGCTTTGCATGAACCGTGGCTTACCCTTGTAGTCTAAGCAACAGTAGATTCGGGGACAACATCTTCGTTGTCAATGTTGCAAGCCGTTTGAAGAATTTGATTATCACCTTCGCCGAGCCGCAAGTATCAAATTGCCGCTGCGCCAGAGTCAGCCGTCATCCGGTACTCGCGGCTTCCCTTTTTTGTTTTTTTTTTTTGTTTTTCTCTTTCTTTTTTTTTTTTTTTTTTGCTATTCCTGAGAGCTGAAAATTTAACATGAAGATCTGCTCAAAATATTTTTTTTTTTGAGCTATTCCTCGGAGCTGAAATCTCAATTTTCATACCATTTTTATTTGTTTTTTTTTCTATTCATTTTTTTTTTTGGCTTTTGCTCATCTATTAGGACAATATGATATCTGAGCAAAAATTTTCCTTCCTTTTGCGAGAACTCTGACCTTAAAAATAATAATTATTATTATTATTTTTTTTCCCTCTTTTTTTTTTCCCCCCCAAATATTCCTACTATACATGATTTTGATGTAAACTTTGTCAACTTGCCTCTTTGTAGACAACTCAAGCTGTGCTTGAAGAGGGGTTCGAAACAATTCCGAGGATTTGAGAAGAGGCAACCAATTAGGTAATTTAATTACCAAACTTCTTGCACGAAACTCCTGCATCCTCTAATATTTTCTTTTACAAAATTCCAGCAATCATGCAAATTAAGGGCTACGCCGTGCCAGTGCCGCATATTTCACTGACGGATGAACGGGGAGGAACTCAATCAAAGAGCTTGTCACTACATGTTTACAAACCAGCAATCGGCCCGCTCGCTGAATCCTTCATACCCCTTGAAGGATGCTTTCATCTCGAAGATTGGACTAGCAAGTGGACCAAGGAAGTGGTGGCACCATCGACTTTCTCCATTACATCGAGGGAAGAAGAAGTGGTCGTATTAAACTTGTCACTTCACAATGGAGATCCAGAAATAGCCAAATTCACTCTTCCGTTCGTGGGATTCAATGTTGACAAAGCTACATGGAAAACCCCTTCGTCATTCTTCGGTGAGGCGTGCTTCACCTCCTATTATTGGGAGTGGGTTGAGGACATGCTTGGAAGGTATAAAGACATACTCACACGCGCTGGCATATTTGAAGCCGTCTACGCGTCGAGATACTCCTACGACCGCTGTGAAAATATCTTGCGGGCCTTCTTCAAATATTGGTGTCCCTCGACGAACACGCTCCATACGCCCGTTGGGGAGTTGTCCATCACACTTTGGGACCTTTATCGACTCGGTGGCCTTTCGATCGACGGCACGTTTTTCGATGAAGTTGTTCCTTCGGCACGGGAGCTCCTTACTCGTGACAAAGAAGGGAAACCACTTCTCCCTGAGAGTTGCAGGCATCTTTTTTCGGCTTACTACCACCTCTGGACGAATGACCAAGGAGTATGGATGAAGGACTGGATTCGCTTCTGGTTCAAAGGAGAGGCTAGGTATAGGGCTCCTCCGAGTAGAGCGAATAGAAGGAAGACCACATCTAAACCAAAAATGACTTACAACCCTTCTGGAAGCGTGGAGCCTTACGACCTTGCCGATACGAATGACTTCAATGTCCCTTTTGACACCCTGGGTATCCCAGGGTCTCTAAGAAAGGAAACCTATATTGCGGCATTCATAGCGTGTTGGATTTGCAAGTTCCTTTTGCCAAGCAAAAAGGCCGATCGTATTCGTCCAAGTGTCTTCAAGGTTGCATGCTTAATGGCTACAGGGAAAAGATTTTGTCTTGCAATTCCCGTCCTTGCGAGCATATATCATGGGTTGAGGGAGATCGTCCACGCCCCTAACCTTGGAGAATGTGGGGTAATTTTTCCAATCCATTACGTCTATGCTTGGGTTGGCCAATACTTCGATGTATATTACGAAAATCATCAAGTGAATAGCCACCACGCGCGCATGACAAGATTTAGTGGTGAGAAAATGGCAATATTTTATGGCCAATTGGAAGCTGAGGAAATCTTCAAAGAAACGAATCCTTTGATGCTTCCTAAATTGTGTTGGACTGAGAATGGAGAAAAGGCGTTGATCGATGACGGATCCTTATCATCAAGACTCACGAGCTACTTCATTAGTCAACGCTCTTGCCATTTAACTCTACGTAAGGACAATACTTTCATTATTGAAAAATATAATCCTTGCAGGTTCAGCAGGCAGTTCGATTTTTGTCAGGACATCCCCAACAACTTGAAAGAGATCACTCACACTTATACCTTAGCTGAAGCTATTCAACTATGGGATTCCTCAGTTCGCACGCAGACGCGGTCTCGGATGACTATACCCATGCACATGAAGCATCCATTGATCACCAAAGACTATGATGCCTGGTGGTCGACTCGGTCAAATAGTGTCTGTTCAACTCCCTTAAAATTCACCGTTAAGATCCCTCAGCAATTAGTGAAGAAGGGTAAGGTTACCTCCGCCAACGAGTCAGTGCATCCTAATGGAGTTATAGAGATTGTAACGGGTCTTACCTCATCCACCTTGCGGAAGAACAAGACCATTAGCGGCCCCTTGGAAAACGTTGTTACAAGAAATAAGTCTTCCAAGGACTCTCGACAGGTCATCAAAGAGGCGCAACCAGTGATTCTCTCAAAGAAGATGCCGCCCAAGGTTTCAAAATCTTTTTCAGTGACTCACATAGAAGAAGATGTCGAAATTGAAACGATGGACGATCGTGATTCTCTTGAGGCTATAGAACAAGAAAGGACTCAAGCTCAGGGCATCGAATCTACCCAAAGAGAAGCCCATTAGTTATAGAGTGGCAGTAGTAGCCAAGACCGTCATTGGAACCGATCGAAGAAGAGGACATCTTCTGATTTGGAGGAAATTTCCTTTTCACCACCGTCGGTTGGAGTGTCGCCGCTTAAGGTAATCATATCTTCCTCTTTTTTTTTTTTCTTTTTTTTTCTTAAACCTTCATAACACATTTTTTTTTCAGCCCCCACTTCTTGAATTCCACCAAGAAGATGTTGGTACCAACTCACCAATTGAACTTGAGACCGATGCTATAATTCCAAACAAGAAAGGTGACGGAGTCGTTATCAGCATCCCAAAATAACTTGCCCCCAGTGGAGGTGCCTTGTCAAAGAAGGAGTTGACTAATTTGCATGGAGTCCGGAAAAAACCTAAGGTAGCATTGGTTTCAGAATTTCATGGTAAAAAATTGATCCAGGCGCATCGAAAAAAGTACTTGCAAAGTTTGTGGATGGATTTTCGCGGACAGATTCTTGACATTCCAATTGATCAGATCTCTTCTTTAAAAGAGTGTGCAGAGGAAATCATTGCGGAAATCACAAGAACGGATCCTACCAATGGTCTCCCTTTAAAAGACCACTTGATAGAATTGTTTGCCAAGGCGGAGGCATATGATCTTTTGGCATCTTCATCGTGGGAAAGAATGAGCAAAGAAACACACGCAGAACTCCTTTCCAAAGCGACCATCCAACTCGGGAGAGTTAAGGCAAAGGAAGAAGAACTAACTTGTTATTTGCAAAGTCTTGAAGAAAAGTTGCAGTCCATTGAAGACAGGAAGAAGGTTCTGCAACAGGAACTCATCAATTTGGAGAAACAAAGCTTGGAAATCAGCTCAACTATCGATCAAAAGCATGAGATTTTCAAAGAGATCCAGACCGAAATAACCCAAGCGCATGATGAGCTATCTTTCATTGAAAATACCAGCATCTTGACTGATGACGCTGTGAAGGAACTTGAAGACATGAAGTCTGCACTTGAATCATATAAAGTAGCTGTAGTGGAATACAAATTTGATATTTAGACTTTCCACCATGTCCTTCTTTTTCTTGAATTCTTTTATCATTTTCTTTATGTAATGAGTTCTTCTTTTTTTTTTCCAATAATAAAATGCTTTTTATTTCTTATCTCTTTTTTTTTGTGTGCAAGGAACAAGGATTTGATTTGGAGTGGTGTAACTGAACTTAGAAGTTGCCCTCCAAGCTGCCTACGTATCCCAACAAGGGAATCAAGTCACACGTAGTTCCTGCCGAACGCATTTTAACCTCATGCGGGCCAAGAGTATCTATTTGTTTACCACCTTAGACTTGGTGGAGTGTTTCAGCAGTTTAACCACATACTACACTATTGGTGGTTGCCATCCACAGTTTTAGCTCATGCGGGCCAGGAGCATCGCGCGGTTCCGATTATGCATAGTACCTTTTTAGGTACTTGCCATTGATGGGGCCAACCCTTAATCCATCTTCAGCAACCAACTTGTATGAGCCATTTGTATATACTTCTCGAACGACATATGGACCATCCCACTTAGGAGTAAACTTTCTTTGTCCGCCATGAGTGAGAATGATTGGTCTCCGAACGGCGAGCACTAACTCTCCAATTTGAAAAGAGCGGGGTCGAACGTGCTTATTGAATGCCTTTGAAATGCGAGCCTGATAACACTCAATCCGTTGCTGAGCTTCCAATCTCTTTTCGTCGAGTGCTTCTAATTCCTCAAGGCGAAGACGAACATTATCTTCTCCACTGAACCCTTCTTGAATTGCAATTCTTAGCGAAGGTATTTGACACTCAAGTGGAAGAACAGCTTCAACACCGTAAACAAGCGCATATGGGGTTGCTTGCGTGGGAGTTCGAAAAGTAGTTCGGTATGCCCAAAGTGCTTCTCCAATTCGAAGATGCCAATCCCTTTTCGATTTATCCACGATTTTTTTCAACAGATTACATAAGGTCTTGTTGAATGCCTCAGCGAGTCCGTTTGCGGCAGCGTTGTACATGGACGAATTGTATTGTTTGAAATGAAACTTTTCACAAAGTTTGTTCATTGCTACATTACAAAAAGGTTTACCATTATCGGTGATGATATACCGCGGGACTCCATATCGATAAATGATGTGCAAGCGGATAAAATCTACTACATTCTCCTTTTTGACCCCTCTTAGAGGAACCGCTTCGGCCCACTTTGAGAAATAATCTGTTGCCGCCAAAATGAAAATGTGCCCTCCAGAAGATTTTGGAAGCAGTCCAACTATATCCAAACCCCAAGCATCGAACGGCCAAGAAGCCACAGTTGGATGCAATGGTTCAAGAGGTTGACGGATGAAATTGCCATGGAATTGACAAACTTGACATTTTCTAGCAAAATCGATACAGTCCTTTACCATCGTTGGCCAGTAGTATCCCATTCTCTTAATGCGAAAGTGCAATTTCGGGCCAGATTGGTGAGCACTATATATCCCAGAGTGAGCCTCCTCCATTGCTTGCATGGCCTCATCTTCCCCAAGACATCGTAGAAACACCCCATCGAATGATCTTCGGTAAAGCGTCCCTTTGTAGTAAATGAAACGTGGTGCTCGACGACGTATATCAACCCTTTTCTTGGAATCTTCTGTTAACTTCTCGTGATTAAGGTAATCTACTATGAGATGACGCCAATCCTCCTTTTCGATCTCATGGACAAAAATATGATAAGTATTTTCTTCCTCACCATCATCATCTTCATCAAACATCGCAGGTATGACCCAATTTTGACATATTGAAATCTGATTTCGATGAGAAGGTAGAGTGATCATGGACGCCACCCTTGCCAAAGAATCAGCTTGTTGGTTGAAATTTCTAGGGATATGTTCTATAGCGACATCGCCCAGATATCCCATAAGTTGTCTTGCATACTTATAATATGGGATCAATTCGGGTTTCTTGAAATCATAAACACCAAGAAGTTGATTTACCACCAATTTTGAATCACCGTAGACTCTAAGATGCAACTGCTTCATGTCTACAGCCGTTTCAAAACCGAGAATCAACGCCTGATATTCAGCCACATTGTTGGAACACCGGCGTGTTAAAGTGAAAGAGTATGGCAATATATCTGCTTCAGGAGTATAAAAGACAACTCCCGCACCAGCTCCATCACGGTGAGCAGCTCCATCGAAATACATTGACCACGACGATTCGACCATAAACACTTTTTCATCGGGAAGTTCATCAGTCAACTCCTACTCGGCAGGTAGGGGATGATCGGCTAAAAAGTCTGCCAATATTTGTTCTTTGACAGCCTTCGCAGGTACGTAAATAATTTCAAACTGTTGAAACTGGAGGTACCATCTGGCGAGTCGATCAGACAGTACAGGTTTTGCCATGACATATTTAATGGGATTAGACTTAGATATGAGTCGAATAGTGTGCGCTTGAAAGTAATGTTTCAACTTCTGAATGACAAATATAAGTGCCAAACACAACTTCTCGATGGGTGAGTAGTTTAACTCATTAGATGTCATCATCCGGCTCAAGTAATACAGTGCATTCTCCTTACTTTCATCATTTTCTTGAGCAAGTAAGGCCCCAACCGACCGTTCTTGAGCGGAAATATAGAGAATCAATGGTTTTCCTGGAATGGGCGCAGCCAACACTGGGGGATTCATGAGATACGCCTTGATGCTTGTAAAAGCATTCCTACACGATTCATCCCACTCGAAGGGTACCCCTTTTTTCATCAGTCTACTAAAGGGTTGGCATCGTCCGGCCAAATTAGAGATAAACCTCCGGATATATGCCAACTTCCCTTGAAGGCTCTTCAATTCATGAATATTTCGCGGTTCAGGCATGTTCACAATGGCATCAATTTTAGATCGATCGACTTCTATTCCCCGTTGATGAACGATGAAACCAAGAAACTTGCCAGAAGTGACTCCGAATGCGCACTTCAAAGGATTCATCTTTAATTGGTATCTCCGAAGGCGTTGGAAAACTCTTCGAAGGTCTTGAATATGATCCTTTCGCTTCTTTGATTTCACCACAAGGTCATCAACGTAGCACTCCACATTTCTATGGAGCATATCATCAAATATTCTTTGCATTGCCCTTTGATATGTCGCTCCAGCGTTTTTCAAGCCAAACGGCATTACTTTATAGCAATAAATTCCCTTGGGGGTGCGGAAGGCAGTTAGCTCCTCATCCTCGGGCGCCATGCGTATTTGATTGTAGCCAGACGATCCATCGAGAAAAGATAGTGCTTCATGCCCGGTTGTAGCATCTACCGTCAATTCTGTGATGGGGAGAGGAAAATCATCTTTAGGGCAAGCCTCGTTTAAGTCTCGAAAGTCAACACAAACTCGAATTTGCCCATTATTCTTCCTTACAGGGACGATGCTTGAAATCCATGTTGGATATTTTACTTCTCGTATGAATCCGGTTTCAATCAATCGATTTATCTCATTTTCTATCAGAGGAATCAATTCGAGCCGAAAGCGCCTTTGCGTTTGCTTGACAGGTTTTGTTCCTCGCTTGACAGACAAATTATGAACGGCGACCCTTGGATCCAAACCAGGCATTTCTGAGTAATTCAAGGCAAAGACGTCCCTGAACTCGAGCAGCAAATCAACATACTCTATTTCTTCTTCAGGAGTCATACAAGAGCTTATGTAAATTGGGCGAGGATCGTCGCTTGTGCCAAGGTTAATCTCTTTTAGCTCATCGACTGTATTTTTTACCCCTTGTTCAAGTTCAGGGGGAGCGTCATTTGCATCTTCTTCTTCTTTTTCGGGATCACTGATCGTAATATGGTGACAGGAAGCCATACTTTCTTGCCCCTGTTCTTCAAAAATGGTTTCAATTCTTACATTGAATAAGTCTCCATAGTGCATGAAGAAATTGGAGACTCGCTTTCTTGGTCCGTTCCTCTTTATTGGAGTAAGACTTTCTTCCCTGGCAACTTGGTACTCTTGTTTTTTACTGCCGAATCTCTTATAGACAGGCGACTTCAGATTTTTCGGCTGCGGGCCAAGTCTGTCAAACATAGAAGTACGTTTTGACTTATTTCCCAATCGGTCGAACACAGATCTCTTTCGGCTTGTGACCTCCATTTCTTCGTTCACATAGTTACAACTTGCTCTTTTGATCATTATACGAACAGGAGAGGGCGGTTGATAACCAACACCCATCGATGGACTTTCAACATTATAGCCTTTTTCTTTCAACATTTTCTGCGTAGGTGTCAATCCGTGAGTGTTCTCGCCAGTTACTTCAGGAGGGAGTTTGCCCAATGTATTCTTCTCATTTGGGTTATAACCCGCCTTAGCAAGAAGTCTATAGGCGTTTGGATCAAAACCTTCTTGAGTCCGATTAGTTGGTAGCGAGTAATGTTCCACTACCGGTTCTTCTTTGGGACGGACAAACCCTTGCAAGCTCACCTTCTCAATTTTAACAGGCTCTATCTTGGTGAGCGGAACATTTAATGTGTCATTTCTGATAAAAGAAGACTGACCTTCTTCTCTCTTTGATCTTGGAGTATACCGCAAAATGGGTACTTTGGAATCTTGACTTTCTTCCTTTACCGATTCCTTTCTTTTTGCTTCTTTGTGAAGATAAAATTTGGCATCGGCAAAGTGAGTTTCGGCTTCCGTGAAAGGTTTGTCATCGGCAGTAACTTTCTTAACAATACCGTCTCGACAATATTTGAAATATTGATGCAGAGTAGATGGTATAATTTCATTCTCGTGAATCCAGGGCCTTCCCAATAGCATGTTATAAGAGGTTTTGGCTTCAATGATATGAAATAACGCGCTTGAAGACAGCTCACCAATGAGCAATTCAAGCCTTATGAGGCCAATTGCTCTTTGCCCCCCTTGGTTAAATCCTTGGATCATGAGGCGGCTCTGGGAGAGTTCATCACTTGAGATTCCTAACTCTTTCATAGCACGTACGGACATGATATTGACAGCAGATCCCCCATCAATGAGTATCTGATTCATCTTTTGTTCTCGAACATATGCACTAACAAACAAAGGTCGATTGTGGGTCTTGAACTCAACAGTTAAATCGTCATCATAAAAAATGATGGTCGTTGCACAATCCACCAGTGGTTTATCATCGACTTTGAGTTTTTTCTCAAATTCAGTGCCAATTTGTGTGACTTGAGGATTTTCAGCTTTGACGACATTACAAGAAGTGGATTTATCAGTATCATCACTTAAATACCCTTTGGGTATAAATTCTCTCAATGTCACGGGCTGTCGAACCTCTTGAAGAAGCTGAAAATCTGACGAAATTGGTGTTGTGGTGACTCTCTTTTGTTTCTTTGTTGCATTTTGTCGTTTCACTATTACTTTAGCCTTTGTCGAGCGCATGCTTTTCGGAAAGATGTGCTTCTTTGTCTTTGGCTTGCAGGTCCTTTTTCGAGTGACTAAAGTCCATCCTTCATTATCATCTTCAACAACATTTTCAATTGACGATTTTTCAAACTCCGTTTGTACAGACAGAGCACTGCTTGATGTGGGTAGAACTTCTATCGGGCAACACACAGATCTAAACATTATTGTTGTTTGGTTTACCGATGCTTTATCTTCCTCGAGAAGGATCTTTCCTTGACGGGCCAATTCCATAATTTTGTCTTTAAAGACAAAGCATTTAGTGAGAGGGTGGCCAATCAGGCGATGATAACAGCAATAGTTTGGATCATTGACTTGACCGGCTTCCTCTGGACGCTTCATTTCGGGAAGTTCAAGGAGTTTCTCCTTGAAAAGGTCATCAAACATCCCTTGTAAATCAGATTCAAGAAATGGGTATTCTTTTTCTTGCATCTCTTTTAACGTGGGTCTTTTTATTGACCTATTTTGAAATGGATCCAACCTCTCAGTGACCTTTCGGCTCACTTTGGTAGCAATTTTCATGGGGGCTGTATTTATTGCCATGGACTCCTTATTACTGAGTCTTGAAGGAGGCTTGCCCCCTTTTTTATTTTCTTGCCTTTCATTGCTTTGACGAGGCGGCTGCACTCGCGGAATTTGAATAGGAAGCCCATCAGTTGCATTGGCCGTGATGCTTAACTCCATGTCATGAGCACGAGTAGCTAATTCTTCAAATGTGTTTGGGCGTATACCCTGCAGAATGTAGCTTAGGCTCCAATGCATTTCTCGAATGCACATTTCTATGGCGGAGGGTTCAGACAGTCTGTCCTTACAGTTGAGACTCAGACTTCTCCATCTATCAATGTAGTTGACCACAGGTTCATCCTTCCATTGACGAGTGTTAGTCAACTCCAGCATACTGACGGTTCTTCTAGTGCTGTAGAAGCGATTCAAGAACTCTTGTTCCAACTGTTCCCAACTGTCGATGGACCCCGGAGTGAGATCAGTGTACCAATCAAACGCGTTACCCTTCAAGGATCGGACGAACTGTTTGACTAGCAGGTCGCCATAGGTTCCAGCGTTATTGCAGGTTTAGACAAAATGGGCCACATGTTGTTTTGGACTACCCTTCCCATCGAACTGTTGAAATTTAGGCGGTTGATATCCAGCAGGCATTGCGAGATTGTCGATTCTAGCAGTGTAAGGCTTGCAGTAGGTAAAGCTTGACTTTGAACCACCCTCCTTTTTATCTTTGATCACGCCTTCAACAAGTTCTTTCAGTTGTTCCACGGGGATAGTTCCATCGGCGGTCACATATACTTCCTTCACCTTGTCTTTGCCTTTAGACGAGGGAATTTCACGCTCTTGGTTCGCATGGCTTCCTTCAGGAGCGCGATCTTTCTGGGTGAGCAGTTGAGCAATGAGAGCATCTTGGTCCTTGATGTGTTTGATCATGGTTTCCATCATCTTGAACATGTTCGAAACTTGCTCTTCGAGACTTAAAGCATTTGTCATCATAGCAGGCATTGCAGTAGAAGAAGCAGCAGAATCTTCCATAGAAAATTTTGATTGAAGGGTTTCATGTGAAGAAGCTGATCCCGTGCTTGATGAATCATCATCATGCTCAGAAAATTTGGATTCGAATCCAAATTCGAGCATGGCGAGAGCCTTCTCAATTGAGGCAGGAACGTCTTGGATCCCCGTCGCGGAAGAATAGCTCATTGATGATGTTGAACCGAAGACGGGAGTTGGTGCCGATGGAGCTTCCATGCTACTTTGGGTGGAAGTTCTCGTCATACTCCTTGTCACGGGACCAATAGCGCGGGTATTGGTGGCAACATGTGCAACATCAGTAGCCTTGGAATGAGCAGTCATGGACTTGTTGCTCTTTGGTGCCATTGATGATGTATATGGCTGAATATTCGAAGAGGAGAGATGAAAAGCAGAGATGGTCCCACCGGGCGTGCCAAAAATTTGTACGCGATAAAATTTCAAGTCTGCAAAACGACAAGAAAAATGCACGACAAATATATGATATATAAATTTAGAAAAATATGTAGGTACAATCTCTGGGGTTTCTCGAACTTGTGGAGAATTTCCCTCGATTCTTCTCCTCGAACGCCAATCCAAGGGCTTCGCAGCTTGTTCTTTGATCCACCACCGATTCCTTCAAATCTTGATATAGAAGATTTGAAGAACTTTAGAAGATATTTGAAGACTCAAGTCTTGATATCTGGGAGACTTGGAGAGCTTGAAGAGCCGAACCTTTGTAGCTTGGAACTTCAATGCTTTGAGCGTATGTGATGCTCTTTGAAGTCCCTCTGTGTATTTTCTTTTTGTGTCCTTGATTTGGTAGAGAGAGACCTCTACTTATAGTTGTAGCAAGAGGTAGAGGTTGAGAACCTGTGTACCACTTTACTTGTCTTGCAAGACGTGCAGTCATATTAGGACTGTACCAGTCAAATATTATCTCCTCATTTTATATTTATTAATAAAGAGATAAGAAATTTATCGATTGGCCAAACTCGGGGAGGGACACGTGACATGGCGCCGTTTGACTGGCCAAGCTATTGCAGTATATAAGAGATATACTTGGACTAAATAACTCTAAATATTATCCCTTTAATACGAAATAAATATTTAGATATTTATCCAATGGACATGTGACATGACATGATCTGGTTGGTGGAGATATCCCTGCAATTTGAATTGATTTGGAACACCTCGCCTTGACACGTGGCAAAATATAATTGGTCATTTAATAACCAATTTTTCCAAGTGTACGTGCCATATGGCAATATTCGATTGGACGAAAACATTTAATAGACCAATGGTAATTTTTAGAATTTAATTAAAATTCCATTGTCTACATATACATTATCATGATTGGATAGATAATATATGAATAAATTTTGGATTTCAAAATCAAATTTTACACATGTGTTATATACCTAATGGTGATAGTGTACACTCAAAGTGTATACAAATTTTTTTTTGAAACAAGTATATACAAGATTAATCCATATATAAAAGGGTAAATTTTATATCCACAGGTAGTGTATACACTATCACTGTTAAATAAATTTGTATCACTTTATATTTTTCCTAAACTGCCCTTACTAACTACCTAATATAATCAACTACCAATTAGAGTTATGAATTATTTCTAAATAGTTATCTATTTATGCAATTTATTTTGGTGAATTTTTTAATATCTACTATCAAAAATGTAAAACCAATTCTTCTGAAAATGATACATATTTACTCAAATTTTTAATAATATTTTCTTATTAGTTGCACACACATTGGTGTGTGCATTTTACATTAGTATATAAAGAGAAAGGATAGGGTTTGGCCTAAACATTTTGTTGTCATTTTATGTGCTTCCATATTTACCCTCAAACAAACTATTTTGAATTCCATTAACTACCCAAATACATGTTGTCAACATAACTACCTATAAGCATTTTTTAATTTACTATTTAAACATATTTTTCAATATAACTATCCTTAAGAAGTAATTGCTAACACAACAATCATTTTGTCAAAAACAATTTAAAATATTAGAGTTTGCATTAATCATAAAAAGAACTATACAAAATTCATTCACCATAAAATATTATGCAATTCTTTGCACACGCATTGAGCGTGCATTTATCACTAGTTTATAATTATACTATTCACCAGTTTAGTTATTATAAAAACTTTCTATTACTGTGACATAAAATGGTATATTGTTAACGGTTTGATAGTTGGCATGCAATCGACCAAATCTCAATTAGAGATCGCCCTGGAGAGGGAAGTTGGCAACGAGTGAGAGGGGGGAGGGAGAGAGGTAGGTAGAGGAAGGGGGAACAGAGAGGGAGGGAAGGAGAGAGGAAAGACGGAGAAAAGGAAAACAAAAAATAAGGCAGGCTGTCAGTGGCGGAATGAGGTGGCCGTGCTGTGGTGGGCTGAGGTGAGGGAGAAAGAAGAAAAAAGGAAGGTAGGAAAAAAAATAATTTTTGTGTGTTTTGAAATATTTTAAGTGTATATTTTAAAAATTTTGGGATGCTTTTAGAGGTTCCTATAGTTAAAATTATTTTAAAACTTGTTGAAGACAAATTTCTCAAAAAATTGAGGTGCCAAACTAGCCATATATTGAGAGAAAAAAAGAGAAGAAAGAGAATAGAAAAGAGAAAAGTTATTGTAATTGTTACTAGACATGGTTACAGTTCCAGAACTGTTGGTTTCGATTTGTGATTCCGATTCTTTTTGAAAGGTGAAACCTGAACTGACTCATATAGGGACGGTTACAATTTGAACTTCTGATTCTGATTTATAAACTTGCAGTTTCGGTTTTGATTGTTGTTAAAAAATTGATTATAAGAAAATATGACAATGAATGTTAAAAAAAAAAACTTTATTATGTTATCATGTGTAAGGAAAAAGAAGAATTGATGAAAAGTTTATGAAAAAAATATCTTATTATTAATTAGTTTAGATTGTTTTTAGGCTTAAATCAGTTATGGGGTATAGACTTACTAATATAATGGAACAATGAGTTGTTAGGTAGGAATTGAAATTATTGGTTATTAGTTGTTGACTATTGATATTGAATTTTAAATTGACTAAATATGTTTCGACAGTAAATATTTTTTTAGACAATTTGAACGGATCTTAAACTATCAGTTCCAATTTCAAATCAAAACTTTTATGAACTTGAAAGTGAATCTGAATCTTTAGTCACGATTATAGTTCCGATTTTTGTTTCGAAAATTCACTTTCGATTTTGAATCAGCAGACCACTAGACCTGTTTCGGTCCGATTCCGGTTCAAACCTGAACCGGAGCACTCTCCTCTTGCGTTCAAGAAAGGTGAAAAGGGCCCCAGTTATAATTTTGCTCCCTTCTCGCCAATGTTTTAAAACTCGGACCGTTAAATGAACCGGTGAAGTAAAAGGGTCGAGGTTCAACCGGTCGGACCGGTTCAACCCCGGTTCAATAAATAAATAAATAAATAAATTATATATATATACACACATATACCTATGCACAGAAAATAATCCTAGTCTTGTAATAATTGCCAAAACTAAAATATACACCTAGTGTTAATAATGGTTAACATTTTCTTTCTTCTCAAACTTCTACCTAAAATCCAAGACCAGAAATTCCCTTCATGTTGAATCATAAGTAAATTACAGGTAAATACCAAGAACTATTAGCAAAATTCAAGGTAGAGTTAATACCCAAAGAAACAAGAACAAAAACAAACAGCCAGGTAGACAGCAGCTTAGTACATGGAGGCCTAATGGCTAATTAAGAATTATGTAAATTGCTCAATCATAGGTAAGTCAGATATTTCTCTGTCCATGCATGTTAAAACTAGGTGAGATGCGGTGGCATGTGGAGGATTATGCTATTGCATCATTCTGCTTTTGCATCCAAGTGGCTTAATGAAACAAATGATTGCGAAAGGTCAAACATAGCCAACTAGCATCTGCTTGGTTCTTTCTTGAAGAGTGCCTTTCATAGTTTCAGTTAAAGAATCAATCATATGAGATTGGCAGCTCTTAGTTCTGTTCTTTCTTATTCCAAATTCTTTTACTGCCTCATTCAATTGAATCCCTCTGCAATCTCCTAATGGACCAAAAGAACGAAAATGCTACTACCAATTTTTAGACAACAAAGAGAGAAACACTGCAACAGCCAACGAGCTCATCACTGCAACGTGCAACAAAGCCAACTAACGAGCCTTCAAGCCAGCAATAAGATAAAAAAAAAACCCACTGATTCAGTCTCCACAATAAGATAATAGATTAACCCACTGATTCACCTTTGCTACAATCTTCAAGCCAGACAACAAAGCCAATTAACGAGTAAAAAAAAAATTGCAGGACAAACTGATCAGCTTATCTAATTTGAGGACAAACCAAAAAAAATACCTTTTCTAATTTGAGGACAAACCAGATCTTTTGTGAAATCAAACTAAATAAGAGGGTGGTGGTGAAGCCGTGAAGGTGAAACCAGATCTTACCTGAAAATGAGCTACGAGGATCAAACTCATCAAAACCATCATCTTGCTTCTGATCAGCAACTGAAGGTGGTGGTGAAGCCGTGAAGGTGAAGCAGGGGCAGGCTATGGAGGAAGATTGTTGGCTGAAAAACAAAAGGGCGAAGCGGCGGCGAAGCAAAGGACGAAGAGTAGAAGACCGAATGAAGATTGAAAAGTGAACTAAAGAATAGGTTTAGATAATTTCGGTCAAAATTCAATCAATTTTGCCCAAAATTAAAAAACCGCGGTTCACGGTTCGATTCAGATTTAACGGTTTGAACGGTTTTTTACGGGTTTGACCGGTTCTTGAACCAAGTCAACACAAGTAATGAACCGGACCGGACACATGGCCGGGTCGCGGTAGAACCGGTCGGACCGGCCGGTCCGGTCCGGGTTTGAAAACATTGCTTCTCGCGGACACCAGACCTACTGACTTAAAAATCTTCCTTGTTGATGGAAGGTCACCAACCGTTGCTTACCTTGAAAGGCTGAAACCATTGCTGTCCAAGAGACTACACTTCTTTCCGGCATCTTATTAAAGATCGCCTGTGCAGTTTCCATATCACCAACCTTTACATAACCAGACAACATTATTGTATTCCAAGAAACATCATCGTTTCTTTCTGGCATACGTTGAAATACAGAATGAGCTAACTCCAATTTTCGAGCTCTCAAAAGCCCACTGATAACCGAATTCCATGTCACAATACTCCTTTCTGGCATGGACTCAAACAGCCCAATTGCAGATTCTATCTCTCCACGGCTCATACACCGTCCAATCAACGTATTCCACGAGACAACATCTCTTTTAGGCATATAGTCAAACACCTTTCGAGCCAAACCCAAATCCCCACAACAGTTGCCAT